CTGCCACCTGACCGTGCTGTCCTCTCTCCCACCCCAGATGCAGGTGGCCCAGCAGGCGCAGCTCCGCCAGGAGACCCAGCTCCTCCAGCAGACCTTCCTGACGGAGAAGGATGCCCTGCTGCAGAAGGAGAAGTTCATCGAGGAGGAGAAAACGAAGCTGGAGAAGCTCTTTAAAGACGAGGTGAACAAAGCCCAGAACCTGAAGGCGGAGCAGGAGCGGCAGCAGAAGGAGATGGAGCAGGAGAAGCAGCAGTTGAAAGCCATGCTGGACGAAGCCAAGAAGCACCAGAAGGAAGCGGAAGAAAACGTCCGGCACAAGCAGGAGGAGCTGCAGCAGCTGGAGAGACAGCGGCAGCAGCAGGAGAAACTCCTGGAGGAGGAGAACAAGAAGCTCAGGGAGAGGCTCGAGCAGATGCAGGAAGAGTACAAGGCCGCCCTGGCCCAGACACGAGAGATCATGATCCAGACGGACGACCTGCCCGAGGAGGCCACGGTTACGATGACGCAGCTGCCGGATATCAAAGCTGTGCCCAACGGCAGGGACGCGGTGGATGGCTTAGTGCAGGACGGGGAGCCCGAGTTTGCGTTTGACGGCATCCGTCAGAAAGTGTCTGCGGAGAAGCTGGCCGACGCCGGCATTTTGAGCAAGGAGAGCTTGGACAAGTTGGCGAAGGGCGTTGTGAGTGTTGACGAGCTTTCACAGAGGGAAGACATCAAGAAGTACCTGCAGGGCAAGAGCAGCATCGCTGGTTTGTTAATCAAACCCACCAATCAGAAGATGAGCATCTATGAAGCCATGAAGAAGAAGCTGCTCAGCCCGGGCACCGCGCTGGTCCTCCTGGAAGCGCAGGCTGCCTCTGGCTTCCTCATCGACCCTGTGCGAAACGCAAGGCTCTCGGTGAACGAGGCGGTGAGAGAGGGAGTGATTGGGCCAGAACTGCACAACAAGATGCTGTCTGCTGAACGGGCGGTAACCGGCTACAAGGATCCCTACACGGGGGACAAG